TAGCCGCGGTGGCTGCCATCCCCAGCAGCTCTGCACTAGCCATGGACCAGGGCAGGGCAGGGGTTTGAAAGCTCTTTAAAGCCTCAGGATATAATCTCTGCTCAGAATAATAATAATAATATAAAAAACAAAACCATAAAAATGCCTTTCCACATCTGTCCGGGAAGTGCTCCAGCGGCTTGGGCACGGAATAGCCAGCAAAAGACTAAAGGCTGGGGCTGCAGGGGGGATGGGGGAAGAAACCACATTATGGGGCAGCATCTGGGGCAATGGCAGCCTCGGGAGGAGCTGTGCTGGGGTCACGGCTCAGACCATGCCCGGGGCCCCGCAAAAATCACCCCGTCATTTGCTCCAACCCCGCCCGCCTTTCCCCCAGCCCAGCCGTTCCTCACCCGCCATAAAAATCTATTCGAGAAAATGTGATTTTATGTAACCTTTCATGTTGTTCTGCTCCGTGTCTTACACGCACAGGCGAAAAAACCCCAAAGGAGCTGAAGCGAAAACAAGGTCAAACCTTGCTTTATCTGCCTCATGTCCCCAGGGAGCACGGGGAGGCAGGGCACTCCCAGCCGGGGCTGGCTGGAGGAGAGGAGGGGACACCCCCGGCTCTGGTCCTGGGGAGAGGGATGAGGGGTCCCCAACCCATCCCCATGGCTCTGGGCACCTCGGGCTGGCTCTTGATCCTGGGCTTGGCTGGAGACACCTCTTGGGTCTTAAAGCACAAACTGAAGACTGGAATAATCGGAGAGAACAAAGTAAGTGTTTATTAAACACAATAAATTACATTCCCTTGAAATACAGTAGATTTTGAGAACAGGGCAGGCAGACCTCACCACCCCAGGGAAGTGACTTCTGCAGGGCTGGGGGAGCTCCTGGGAACATAATTTGGGTATTCGGGTTGTCAGAGCCCTGAGGAGAAGAGCAGGCAGGGCACCCAGACTCTGCCTTGGGGAGGTATCGCTAGTTGCAGCCGTGCGACTCCGTCCCTGAAGGCGACGGATTTCTGCTCGTCTGTTTTATTTGACGACTACAGCCACGGCGGAGCATGCACGATCAATCAGTCCCTGCTGAGCACTGCTAACACCTCACGACACCAACGACGAGCACAGTCAGTACCTGCCGGACTCCAGTGCAGGCAGGTTTAGGAAACCAAAGCCTCGACCCCAGCGCTCCGGCAGTGAGACAGAGGTATCACTGGGCTGGGACAGTGCAATCTGATGCTCGAGGCTGGGCGAGGGGCAGAGGGGGAGAGAGAGGTAGTTGCTGGGTGAGAAAGGCACAGC